TGGACCCCACGTGGTCAACAGTGTGGTTGAAGTCCTGGACCCAGTGACTTACAAACTCACCTGACACCAAAGTCCCGAAAGGAGGAAGAAATGAAGGGGATTGTAGTATAATCATTCCCCATGGAGGGGAGGATTGCGCTCTCTCTCTCTCTCTCTCTCTCTCTCATTTCTCTTCAGCAAGTGCATGTATCCTCTGGCAAAAACAAATAAACGAACAAAAAACAGAAGGAGTGTTAGAACTTCTCTGTCCAATGTTCTTCAATGAGTTACCTGAAGGAATGCAGTATAAATAAGCTTGGTTGTGGGACCAGCAGTTAGCAGAATGGCTATGTTGCTGAACTCCCTTGTAGTCAACTGTAGTTCGAGTCCCGGATCCAGCAGCTTAAACTCATGCAGGGCGCATGTGCGTGCGTGCCCAAGATCCCAAGAGGAGAATGGAGGAGAAGGGATTGTGGCGTGGTCATCCTCCCTGGGGAGTGATTTCTCGCTTTCTGTCTCTCTGTTCTCTGTCTCTCTGGTGAGCGCATGTGCCCTATAGCAAAAACCTCTCAAAAAAAAAAAAAAAAACTTGGTTGTTACTTCTTCAATTTACTTTGGTTTGGTACTTGGATAATAGCTATAAGCATAAGGCATTTGCAATGGACTGAATGTTTTTGACCCTCCAAAATTTATATGTTGAAATCCAAACCCCCAAGATGATGACATTGGGAGGCGGTGCCTTTGGGAAGTGATTAGATCATGAGAGCTGAGTGCTCATAATGGGATCAGAGCTTAGGAGGTTCATTTTGGTGTCAGTCTGGCTGGATTAAGGGATACTCAGCTGGTAAAGCATTATTTATTCTCAATACTTCACTGGGCGCTCAGTCTATCTTTCTTTGGCTGAAAGGGAAACCCAGGTGAAACACGTGTCTAGGAGAGGGAGGAGCCAGCTGAATGATGAACTGTAGTGGGATCATCTGTTGAAGTCAGGGGTCACAAATGCAGAGTAACATCTATCAGAATTGGTTGATTTTTTTCCTCCAAGATGTTTGGGTGCACTTGTAGAGTAGGTGGAAAGATGCAGACAGCTAGGGAGAAGGGGGTCTAGGCAAGCATGAAGATGACAGGGAGGGCAGCTTACTTGTAGTATTTTTCAGGGACTGACTAAAATGATGAACATTATATGGTTTTAGAAGTTTAGGTCTATGTTTAAGTCTTTCATTTATTTTGAGAGAAAAAGGGGGGAAACACATTTCAATATTGGTTTGAGCAACGACTTTTCTGCATATGACCTCGAAGGGACAGGGAACAAAAGCAAAAATAGACAAATGAGATTGCATCAAACTAGCTTTTGCACTTCAAAAGAAACAACAGAGTGAAGAGACAACCTACAGAATGGGAGAAAATGTTTCAAACTGGAAATCTGATAAGGGGTTAATATCCAAAATACATTAAAAAAAAAAAAACCTCAATAGCAAGGAAACACCTAATTTAAAGTGGGCAAAGGCTCTGAATGGACATTTCTCAAGAATACATGCAGATGACTGACAGGTATATGAAAAAATGCTCAACAACACTAATAATTAGGGAAATGCAAATAAAAACCGTAAAAAGATTCACCTCTGTTAGTACAGCTATTATCAGAAAATAACAATGATTGGCAGACATGCAGAGAAAGGGGAACACTTTTACTCCGTTCTTGAGCATGTAAATTAGTATAGCTATTATGAAAGATAGTATAGAGGTTCCTCAAAAAAGTAAAAATAGGACTACCATATGATCTAGCAATTCCATCAGTAGACATATAGTCAAAGGAAAGTAAATCTATGTGTCATGGAGACATCTGCACTCCAGGGTTTATTGCAACACTATTCACAATAGTCAAGGTATAGAATCTACCTAAGTATCCATCAATGTATGAACTGGCAAAGAAAATATGGTATGTGTACACACGTACACACACACACACACACACACACACACACACACACACACACACTGGAATATGACATAGTCTTTGAAAAGGAAGGGAACTCTCTCATTTGTGACAACATGGATGACCTGAAGGACAATATGCTATGTGAAAAAAGGCACAGAAAAGTCACTTTGTGACCTCACTTACATGGATTCCAAAAAAGTTGAATTCACAGAAACAGGGTAGAATGGTGGTTAGACTGTTTTCTTTGACTATACAAATATTAACACTATTTTATGAAGCTGAAGTGTTTCAACAAAATTTTCTATTTATACATTTAGATTGCATTAGAGTGCTGCTTAATGTACTCCTAGGTTTAAACATATGGAATCTGGTTCATTTCATACATATGTTTAGCTTCATCACATTGGATTCTTAAGTGCCAAAAGGACCTCTTCATGTAATGTTAAGGAGCAATCACAAAATAATTAAATCAAATAACTAAACAATTGGATTAGATAAATACAATTAAAACTGAAACTCATCACATTGGAGTTGTGTTTGCCTTTTCTATTTAGACCCCACATTATGGAATGGGACATAAACAAATGTATTTCTAATTGTGGGTGTGCATGTGTGTGTGTAGATGTATAAACTCAAGGGGAAAAGAGTGTTTTTTTTTATTAACTATTTGGGGTCCAAGTGGTTGTGCAGTGGTGACACAACTGGGCCCAAATAGAAGAGGTCCTAGATTTGCACCACAGAAACTCTCTGGTGGATACGTATGTGCCCATGATCCAAGCCAGCGAGACTAGGCTGGATTGTAACATGAGGACACTGTTGGAGGTGCCTGCCTCTCTGCCTCTCTCCCTCTGCCTCTGTGTCTGTCCCTTTTGTAGAATAAATAAATAGATAAACTTTTAAAAAATCCAAACTCACTGGAGAATAGATAAGAGCTTGCAGACACTGGAGGGGCAAGTCTATATGAAATGGCGTTTTTCCGACTTTCCACTAAGGCCAAGGCAGAAAGCACAGTCTCACTGCCTTGAGAGGTCAGAGAGTGGGGAAAGATGACCCAATGAGGGAAAGATGACCCAATGAGGGAAAGATGACCCAATGAGGGAAAGATGACCCAATGGCTAGAAAACATCGAGGGAAGGGATGCCAGATGGAATTGTGATAGGCAGTTGTCATGAGAGGGCAGCCCTAAGAGAATAGCAGAATGACACACGTCACATCAATCACAGTTTATCAGGAGTTACAAACAGACCCTTCATGAGATGCCTTCTTCCCACCTAGCCCCTGGCACCAGGAAGGCAAGACAAATATCATTTTCTTTCCTTGGCTATTGAGGAAGACTCACAGGGATGATTGTAAATTTCTCTCTTATCATCCCTCCTGAATACAAAAAGACCCAGCCAAACATTTTGGTCAACATCCTGATTCCTACTGGGGCAATAAACTAATTGGGCAGCCTATCCTAATGAAACATCCTGGCTCACACTGGGCATGTGCAGTTAGGTAACCAAATTCCTAAAATTCTTCACCTGTGAGAGAGATGCAAGCCAGTGCAGAAGAAAGCCCTCAAATTGCAAAGGACATAGATAGTGTGACAGACCTCCCACCGTTAAATATTCATGATCACCTCTGGTAATAAAAATAACACCTAACCGGTTCCAAACGCAGTTGCCACCTGGCAACCTGCCCACCCAAGACTCTTTTGGGTGTACTTATTTTCTAAAATCTTTCATTCCTATTAAATTCTCTCTTCTACCTACTTTTATTGTTGTTGTGGCTTTATTTTGCACCTAAGGACAACTCTCTAATTTTAGTGATCTGGACCCAAAAACCAAGGACTTCACAACACAGCTCAGCACTCTCCCATCCTATGATGGAATGACTCAGGGAAGGGAGATTTATAATCTGCTTGTGAATTGCCCTACTCCAGGTCCTCAGCTGACCTCTTAAGTGCTTATGAGTCAGGGAAGTGTCCAGAAAACCTGCAAGAAGTAGTCAATTTGAGAGTCGAAGGTGGAAAGGTAGGACAAGATAAGAGTACATTTCAACAAGCTGATATCTTGTGGAGAATGTCCCCACAATGGAATTAAACCAGAAGTTGACATCTTGAAAATCCCCAAATATTGGGCTGGCACTGTAGTCACATGGCTAAGGGAGCCAGATTCCACATGGCCAACCACAGTCTTGGTGGCTTGTAAAGCTCTCTAGGCACCTGTGTGTGCATGCCCTAAATCCTAACAGGATGAAAAAATAGAGAAGAAAAGATTGTAATATAACCATGTCCTACTGGGGAAGGGGTTGTTTTCTTCCTTGCTCTCTCTCTTCTCTCTCTCTCTTTGGTGAGTACTCTGGCAATTAAAAAGAACAAAGAAAATCCCTAAATATCTGTAAAGGACTTTATCAGGAGAGTTGATGAATTTTGAATATGGACTGAGGATTAAGTAATATTATATCCATATTAAATGTTCAGACTTTCAAATTTTGATAATTATACTGTGGTTATGTATAAGACCATCTTCATTCTTAGGGTATACCCTGGAGTATTTTTTTTTTAATTTTTTTTTTAGAGAGAAAGATTTTTGCTGTTAGGGTGTGTGCACTTGCTAGAAAAATAGACAGACAGAAAGCGAGAGATCACCCCCCTACCAGAGAGGATGGCCAAGCTGCAATCCATGCTCTTCCATTCTCCTCTCTAGAGATTTGAACTGTGGTCCACCACGTGGGAGTCCAGTGCCTTAATCACTACACCATCTGGGGTATTTTAAGGTCAAATGGCATAATCTGGGGGTGACGGAAGGATGAGAGAGAAGGGACAGGGGACACTGTAAAAAGGAGAGAGAATGACACAGCAAATGGGATAAAATGTTAAATGATTGCTGAGTCTGGGTATTGGGTATAGGAGAGTTTCTTATACTATTCAGTTGTCAGAGAAGCCATAATGCATTTTTGCATAGAAAAATATGTTATGACTTTTCCAATGACCTGGTATTTTTGCAACTTTTCTGAAAGTTTAAAATGTACCAAAATAAAACCTGAAGAAAAAAAATATTACACTGATTCTGCCACTTTTTTTTTTTTTTTTTCCCCATTTCCTTCCGGAATTCTCTAAATTGGAGATCAGAGGCAAGACTTTCCATAGCCCATGATATTTCTCATCCTACCCGTAGGCCCGTGAACAGTAAGGCTGGGACCACGCCAAACAGCTGACAGGGACTTTGTCACCCAGCGTGGAGGGCAGCTTCAGCTCTCTCCTGGCACCTTCTCACCGCCACTGGGCTTCTAAGTGGAAGACAGCCAAGTCCTGGTGTTAAACTGCAAAGCAAATCAAAGAAAGCCAAAGGCAAGGATTAGTGTCCACTAGATAAACGACCAGCTGCTATTGTTGTCTTGTTCAAAGTTTAAAAAACTCTAGTAGCAAAAAGAAGAGAGCAATTGTCTTTAATGAGTTTGCATGGGGTGGGGGTTGGGGGGGCGGGGGTTGTTCAGAGGAGGGTGAAGAGGGGAGGGAAAGGTTCCTGACACTAGGAAACCTTCAAAGAACATTATGTACTCTGTGATCTGCCTCTAAATGTTTCCTAGGAGGGACCTTGAGCACTAAGATTTCTTGTATGTCCCCCACATGCCACCTCTTTACAGTTCTCTTTACTCTCTGAAGTGGACAGTAATTCCTTGAACCTTCTTTCGTCCCTTTCCTGTGTTTGGGAGAATTTCCACCTCACATGCCTTAGAGGGAGGCAGGGCCTGATTCCCACAGTAAGAAGATGAAAATGCAAGGACTTGTTTCCTCTTCCTTCCTGCAGTTGGGTGGGACATGACCCACACTCCCAATCAGATGGGAGTCCTGGAGTATCCAAGGACCTTTCTCAGGATCTAGATTAGTTGTGATTTACCCAGGCTCCTCCTCCTTCTTTTCCTTCCTTCCTTAATCCTTCCCTCCCATTCTCCTTCCTTCTCTTCCTCTCCCTTTCTTTTTGCATTTCACTGTATATACATTTGTTTTTATTCTGGCAAAGTACACATAACACATTGGTCACGTTAGCCATTTTCAAGTGTACAACCCAATGGCATGAAATACTTCTTTGAGGTCATGCAACCACAACCACTACCTGGTTCTAGAACTTCATCCCAAATGGAAGCCTTGTACACGTTTCCTGTTTTCCCCCATGGTCCCTGGCAATCACTAATCTACTTTTTTGACTGTATGGATTAGCCTATTTTATATTCATATAAAATGAAATTATATGAATTATACATTGTATGGTCTGACTTCTTTCACTGAACTGTTTTTTTTTTTATCTTTTTTTTTTTTTGGAGAGATTTTCACTGTAGGGCTCGTGCGCTCGCCAGACAGACAGAGACATAGAGACAGAAAACTGAGAAATCACCCCCCAGGGGGGATGGTCACGCCGCAATCCCTTCTCCTCCATTCTCCTCTCGGGATCTTGGGCACGCATGCACACGCGCCCGGCGTGAGTTTTAAGCCACCGGGTCCAGGACGTGAACCGCGATCGACTACGTGGGAGTCCAGCGACATAGCCATTACGCTAACTGCTGGTTCCCTCACTGAACTGTTTTTGAAGGTCATCCCTATTTGTAGCATGCATCTTTTCATGACTGAATAATCTTCCAATGTATGGAGGGACCACATTTTATTTATCCATTGATGGACACTGGATTGTTTCCAACCTTTACCAGTTGTAAGCAGAGCTGCCATAAATATTCATGTACAAGTTTTTGTGTGAATACCTGTTTTCTATTCTTTGGGGGTACACACCCAGGAATGGGATTGCTGGGTCATTTGGTAACTGGATGTTTAGCTTAATGAAGAACAACTGAACAGTTTTCTCAGCATCCTTTTAATACACTATTTTCTGCTTAATATGGGTAGATTTGTTTGTTTCTGTGGCTTGCAGCTAAGAACCCTAATATCTCATTTCCATCTTACTAATGGGAAAAAATTAGGCAGAGGGGGAGTGAGTGGCTTGTTCGAGCTTTCTAGCTGGTAGGGACTTGATCTTTGCTAGAAGACCTTTAATAGTTTACTGGTAAGATTCCATTCATGGTGCAGTGGCTCCCAATAGGGGTCTCTGGAGGCCAAGGGCTCCATGAATTAATGACGAGGTCTAGAGCTATTTTAATATTTCACAAAATGTAATGGAAAACCTCCACTTTCCCACAATGAAGCTGCTCAAGCTATCTAAAATGTCAAGTTTCTTTGCTTTTGGCAGGAATTAAATCAACCCGGGGTGGTAATAAGGGTTATCGCCTGCTGATCAGAGACTTTGGCTGGTAGTCCTGTATATTTTTGATTAATTTTAAAAATGGGGAAAATGAATAAATTATTACTTCATAAATGCAGTTGTTTGGTAAATGAAAATCTTTTAAAACACGAGGTCCTGGAGGGGAGAAATTACACATGAGTTTCCTGGTACTGAGAAGATCATGGAAGCACTGGGAACATGTCCTTGGCTAGGAATCTGGTGCTCTGGGTCTGGTCTTGGTTCTGCCACTGACAGGTCAGACCACATCCAAGTGACCGTCAGTATCCCCCTGTCTCCCATAAAGGGGTGCCTGGCTGTCACTCAGGTTCCTTCCTGCTTCGGCATCCTGTGAGTCTTTCTCCTTTTTTTTTTTTTTTTTTTGGAGAGGTTTTCGCTACAGGGCACGTGCGCTCGCTAGACAGACAGAGACAGACAGAGAGACAGAAAGCGAGAAATCACTGCCCAGGTGGTATGGCCACGCCACAATCCCTTCTCCTCCATTCTCCTCTCGGGATCTTGGGCACACACACACATGCGTCCGGCATGATATTTAAGTCACCAGGTCCGGGACACGAACCACGGTCGACTATGTGGGAGTCCAGTGACATAGCCATTACGCTAACTGCTGGTTCCCCCACCCCCAGGTTTTTGATGCTGTGAACCACCCACCAGGCTTCAGTCTGAATCATGGGCACCCGTGAGCACAGGGCAGCTCGCCAGACAGACAGAGAGAGACATAGAGACAGAAAGCGAGAAATCACCCCCCAGGGGGGATGGTCACGCCGCAATCCCTTCTCCTCCATTCTCCTCTCGGGATCTTGGGCACGCATGCACACGCGCCCGGCGTGAGTTTTAAGCCACCGGGTCCAGGACGTGAACCGCGATCGACTACGTGGGAGTCCAGCGACATAGCCATTACGCTAACTGCTGGTTCCCTCACTGAACTGTTTTTGAAGGTCATCCCTATTTGTAGCATGCATCTTTTCATGACTGAATAATCTTCCAATGTATGGAGGGACCACATTTTATTTATCCATTGATGGACACTGGATTGTTTCCAACCTTTACCAGTTGTAAGCAGAGCTGCCATAAATATTCATGTACAAGTTTTTGTGTGAATACCTGTTTTCTATTCTTTGGGGGTACACACCCAGGAATGGGATTGCTGGGTCATTTGGTAACTGGATGTTTAGCTTAATGAAGAACAACTGAACAGTTTTCTCAGCATCCTTTTAATACACTATTTTCTGCTTAATATGGGTAGATTTGTTTGTTTCTGTGGCTTGCAGCTAAGAACCCTAATATCTCATTTCCATCTTACTAATGGGAAAAAATTAGGCAGAGGGGGAGTGAGTGGCTTGTTCTAGCTTTCTAGCTGGTAGGGACTTGATCTTTGCTAGAAGACCTTTAATAGTTTACTGGTAAGATTCTAGGAGAGTAAGATTCCATTCATGGTGCAGTGGCTCCCAATAGGGGTCTCTGGAGGCCAAGGGCTCCATGAATTAATGACGAGGTCTAGAGCTATTTTAATATTTCACAAAATGTAATGGAAAACCTCCACTTTCCCACAATGAAGCTGCTCAAGCTATCTAAAATGTCAAGTTTCTTTGCTTTTGGCAGGAATTAAATCAACCCGGGGTGGTAATAAGGGTTATCGCCTGCTGATCAGAGACTTTGGCTGGTAGTCCTGTATATTTTTGATTAATTTTAAAAATGGGGAAAATGAATAAATTATTACTTCATAAATGCAGTTGTTTGGTAAATGAAAATCTTTTAAAACACGAGGTCCTGGAGGGGAGAAATTACACATGAGTTTCCTGGTACTGAGAAGATCATGGAAGCACTGGGAACATGTCCTTGGCTAGGAATCTGGTGCTCTGGGTCTGGTCTTGGTTCTGCCACTGACAGGTCAGACCACATCCAAGTGACCGTCAGTATCCCCCTGTCTCCCATAAAGGGGTGCCTGGCTGTCACTCAGGTTCCTTCCTGCTTCGGCATCCTGTGAGTCTTTCTCCTTTTTTTTTTTTTTTTTTTGGAGAGGTTTTCGCTACAGGGCACGTGCGCTCGCTAGACAGACAGAGACAGACAGAGAGACAGAAAGCGAGAAATCAC